TCCTATCCACGGATAGCTAGTCGTATGGTTTACCCAGTTTTGATGTGAGCGATCAGCGGATTCTGTATACGTATGACTTAACCGAACGGAGTGCGTCGCCGTCCCGACGGCAGAGTGGCCGCACGCCTGCTCCGTGTCACGCGTGCGAGTGGCGGACGTGCGAGTCCGAGGCGCACCACTGGACTCGGGAGTCCGATTCCCACCGAATGGGTGGGCTTGTCTCGACAAGGAAGCATTATGACCGGAGAGAAATGCCGCATTTTGCCTCGACGCCCTGTGCGGGAGTGAGCAGAGCGTCTGTATGACAGGTTTGCACGAGACTTAAAGATCCCCGCTACGTTTCGGTGACGTACCTGGGCCAAATGATCCCATGGCTCTGACCTTTGTTTGTGGGGGTCATTGCCAACGCAAAAGACCATGCCGTGCGATGACTTTGACTCCGACTCCACTGGAGCAAAAAGCGTGCCCGACTGCGCTCAAACAATAAGACGGAAACAAACAGTTAGCGCACCGGTGAGGTTCTCGGCTGACCTCATCGCCGACCGATTCTGGGGCTGGTCCTGTGCCCTCCGCCCGCTGCTATCCTCCGCCCGACGCTCGAGGGCGCGTCACAGGGGCCGTTCTGGCGACGGCCGCCAGCGACCGCTTCCGACCCGGCTGGTGGAGGGGTTCATGGCTAAGCTCAGCGGAAAGAGAAATCGGTTATGAGAATTATGGCGACAGCGTACGTTTCCGGGTAGCTGACTGTCCGGTCTCCTTGCCACCATCAGCTGTCACGTCTTTACGATTTGTTTATACTTCATGTGCCAGTAGTCGCCGTGTAAGCCGGCCCGCTGTCCACTATCCACTGTCTGACCATCTGCAGGATAAACGACACGACTGCAACAAAATGTTATTCGTTTGATATCGAAGAAGCTAACATTGATAATGACTCCCGTTAGCGTCGCCGCCGCTCGCGTAAGCGCGAGAGACAGCGCACACTCTTGGCTGCGAATGACTCGGCAGGCTCATTCTGCGTCTTGAGTTGTAGTTAGGAAAGGTGTAAGAAGAAAGCAACCTCGCTTTATCGCGTCTTCTGGAGTGGTGCACGCATGGATGTGCGGCGTCTTGTTTACCAGCGATTCATCCAACGATGCCACCAGCTCGACAATCATTAATATTTACTTCTACAGTCGCCCACGCAGTGACAGCTTTACTCTGGAATTGTTAGAAGCGTCCTTTTCGTGTTTTTCTTGCGCACTTGCATGTATATAGTGTGGTCTTGTTCGTGCCTAAACGTGACGAGATATCGCGCGACGTTTATATTTTGTGTAGGGAACAGAAGTGCTCTCAATCATTGTAGCTCTTCTGTAGGTTCGGAATGTTGTGTTTTTCATTCGTCAGATTTTGATCGATTTGTTTTGGCCGCGAATGATCTGTGGCTCGACGGTTAAGCCGTCACCACCCCTTAAAGCCACGACTACGGGCGGCGTCTTACTCCGCACTCTGGGCGGGGGTCACACTAGCACGTGTTGCGAAGCTCCAACCGACAACAGTGTAAACGAACAGTGCAAGAGTACCGGTGTTCTGACAGATCGGCCTGTTGCGTGGCTCATCAGCTGTAACGCGACCTGGGTCGGCGTCGCGACTTTGGCATCTGATAACCAGGCGAGGCAAATGGCGCACCCTCTGAGTATGCAACACTGGCGGGATCAGCAGGCGCACATTGTCGCGTCCTCTATATATTGCAGTCTTGTTTCGGCCACCTTGCGTCTAATAGTCTAGCTCGCCTGTCGTGTTTCGAGATCAACCGGCGTCCGTCTTGCACGCCCCGTCTCCTCCGTCGCCTTTGTTTCCGTGATCGGATCAGTTTGCATCGCGCATCTGTCAGTGTGGGTTTACGCGCCGGCGCGCCGGTCGCACGTGCGGCGGCCGCCGCCCGCCAGCAAAAGGTCGTACCTGCCGGGCCAGGGTGCGTTGTCCCGGCGCCCCCGGCAGGCCGCACGTGCTGCCGACCAGCGGCCGGTCAGACGGCCGGGGCGCGCCAGGCGCGGCCCAACACCCAGCCCACCCGACACTGACCCCCGCCCCGTGCCGCCTCGGCGCCCCGCCAACGGGGCCACGGTACGACGCGGCCGGCCTGGCCCTCGTCCGGTGGCGTCGGTGTCACCCGCTCGCCCGTCCGTCCGTCCCAGCGCATCTGCCGGCGTCCTGTCCACGCCGGTTCGTAAGAAGCCGCCTTTGTGACCGCTCCGCCGCCTGGTACCACTGGGGGCGCGCCGCCCCGGCGCGCGCCGCTGCCGGCGGCACAAAGCGCCGCTTTTTCGCCGGAAAGGCCGGCGGCGCGGCGCTCTTTGTCGGGGCGCGCGTGCCCGGCGGCGCTGACCGCGGCCGCTGGCCTGAGTCAGCCGGGCGGCGCCCGGCGCCGGCGCCGCTTCTTACGCGCGCGCCGCCGCCTCTGGGGTCCGCCGCTTGACCCCGTTGGCCGCCGGCGGCCCGACGCGGAGGCCGGCCCCCGTGCGGACACAAAGCCGGCGGAAGGCGTCGGTGGCGCGAAGAACAATCAGGCGGCGATTTTTGCTCGTTAGCGCGGCGGTCATGGCGGTGTGTACGTGGTGGATGAATGATGTTCTGCCGTGCGTCGCCGATGTGGGATGTTCTGTGGGTCACGTTGCGCGCGGCGCGGATGGTGTCACGGCTGAGAGTTGGCAGCAAGAAACGACGAATGTTGGGCTCCGTTGGTCGCTACCTTGAACTTCCGGATCCGGGAACCCCCGCCTGGTTTGCCGTCCGTGGAGGACGTACGATGGGACGAGGGCAAGTGGCTTAAGACGATGAGGCTTCGGTTTTCACGAGGGATGCCGGCCGCTGATGGCGGTAGTCACTACAATTACAGGCGTCGGTGGACAGCCTAACGTTGGTTTGTAACCGTGGTGATGCCTCGGCTTTTGCGCGTCGTTTCTCTCTTTGCTCTATTTTGCAGGTCTACCCAAACCCTTCCATGTTGCTCCGCTGTCCTATTCCTTCTCCCTGTTCATTTATTTACACCGTTTCTGGCTGTCATTTTTTATACAGTTTCTGGCTGTTCTTTTCCCTCTTCCCTCCCCTTCTCTCATTCCCCAGGCCCTCCTACATGCCCCTCCTGTCTTTCCTGCCGGCGGTGCAGCGCTCTCCGGCTCCTCACACCCGGCCCCGCCCCGTCGGCCCCTCCGCCGTCGAGCCGCTGTGACACTAAGGGCCTGACGTCACGTCAGGAATGCCAGCCCGCCGCCCCCACCGTCACGCGCCGTGAGGCGCGAGTGTCCGCGATGTTTCAGCGACTAATGAATGGCTCCGGCGAAGCCCAGCCTCACATGCTCTGGGGCCGGATTATGAGCTGTGTCGGCCCGGTGCCGGACGCTGTCCACGCCGGCCGGACAGCGGCTCAGAGCCGGGTGTCCGCTGTGGACACTGCACGGGAGGGAGGGGTCGAGCCGGTTTGTGTTTCAGCTCATCATCCCTGTTGTCCGAGGAGGTCCGCGCGAGTCAGGCGGGCCGGTATCGTGCTGGTGGGAGTGCCCGGGGAGGGCCGCGCTGGTCAGGCGGGCCGGTATTGTGCTGGTAGGAATGCCCGGGGAGGGCCGCGCTGGTCAGGCGGGCCGGTATCGTGCTGGTGGGAATGCCAGGAGTCGCGCTGGCTCAGTGTTTGCCGCTGAAACATGCACGTGGCCCGCTTCTGAGCCGTCGTCCCTGTACTGCAGGTTCGCATGGTGCAGGGGCACCATCAGGCGCAGGTGAAGCGGGAAGAAGTGGAGACGCCGCACAGCAGCGGCATGTACTCCCCCAGCACTACCAACCTGCCGCAGGTAATTGACCCCACACTAACACCCTCGCGCGCAGAATGTGCTCCCCATCCAGGTATGGGTCGTTGTCTTAGCACCAATGCCGCCACGTGCGTCCATGCGTCTCCCCAGTAACACCAGTCTCGCGTGTGGATACGCGAGCCCGACCCTCACACCACGGCTTGGCAGCACGTTCTGCCTGCTGGCCGTGCTGAGGCTCCTTCCCTGTCATCGGTCCGAGGCGCCAGACGCAGCAATGCTGCTGGGTGATGCAGCAGCGGCGCGGTGCTGGCTCCCGGACGGCGTCCAGGCGGCGCGCGGCGGAGGAGCCGGCGCCCTAGGCCAAGGTCGCGGCGTGAAGCGATGGCGGCAGCGTTCATGCAGTTTCCAGAACCGTGCACAACTCACGGATGGATACACTCCAGTCATGTCGGAAGCGGAGCGCTTTCCGGAAAACATTGCTACTGTGCCGACACTCCCCGCTCGTCCCAGAAATCTCGCCACGAGCGCAGCCGCGTGCGATATTGCGCCAGCCGCCGGTGCCTCTCCGACAGGCAATCGCCGGCTAATTGCCTCTCCCCGTCATCGCATGATGCGTCACGCTGCGCCACCTGTGCGTGCGTGCTACGCGCATGCGGCGGCTGCTCGGCGGCCGCGCGTCACGCGCCGATCGGAACGCGGATACGATCGGCGCTGAGTCAGCGGGGGTCTCGTGCGCCGCCGTCGTGCCGTCCCGCGCTCGCCGAGACGCTCAACAAAGCCCGCGTCGGCTTCCGCACCAGCCGCTTCCAGCGATGTCCGGTTCCGCCTCCGCGGTGGCCGAGCGGCCGGCCGTCGCCGCCGCTGCCACGAACCGCGCCTCTTCCGACGGGGGAGGCACAGTTCGCGGCAGCGGCGGCAGCGGCGGCGGCGGCCGGCCCTCATGGCGTGCGGATGTTGCGACTCGGAAGCGGGTGGGCTGGGGCGGCCCGGCGACCGTCGCCCCCGGGAGCCGACCCCGCCGGCCGTCTGTGTCTGCGCCGACGCGGTGGCCGCCGCAGATAAGGCTGCGCACGCTTCCGCCGACAGCCCCGCTTCCGCCGGGCCGGCGGCGCGTGGTCGCGGCACGTGCTGTGCAACCGGGCGCGAGCGCGGCGCGAGGGACACGGCCGCGCCTCACTGCAGCGTCGCTTGACCCCGCGCAGCTATCCGGCGCGCTGTCCGGGGCCTGCGGAGAGGTTTGCGTTTGCTGGGGTCGTCCCAATTGGCGACGGCTTAAAACGTACGTCCTGGAGATGTGGCGTGGCAAGCGAGTGAACGCGGAGATAAAGAAGCTTGGCCATTTCACTTGCCTTTTGTCTTTGCTCAAAAAGATATCGTCCAAAAAGTTAAGTTACCTGAAACAGGCGAGCCAAAACTATGTAAGTAATGCGGTGTACTGAATCAGTTCTTCATCAGTCCTGCGGCTCAAATCCGGCCAGTCGCCGTGTTTATTTCCCGGCATGAGTTATGTCCGAGCTATGTATAGCCAACGAAACCAGCCCGTGAATGATCACACTGGAATCTAGCTTGAATTGCCTCGGGACGTTTCCGCGTGACCTCACCAGCGGACATGGCGGTCAGGAAAGCCACTGTCGGGGGTGCACCAGACAGCGCTGACGTCACTACCGTCAGCCATGGGCCCGGCTCGAAGAAGCCGTGTGCAATCTGCAGTTGAATGGGAGTCTGACGTTGTCTGATACTGAGAGTACTGCTGTTGAAGGGAGTGTCCCACCGTTTGGGGCCTCTGTCAGAAGCATACTCTGGTGAAACCTCAGGACCAGTTAGCTTAATGATAGCACTCGGTAGCACTACTGCAACGCCATCAAAACACGAGAAGAATGCAAATTTTAATTATTTTCAGGTCCAAATTACGCTGTGACGCTTTGCAACAGCGGACACTTCTTTCCCGCAGTCGCGACAGTCGTCGTGGCGACGGCGGAATCTGCTGGCTGCCCGCTGTCATCTTTTACTGAGAGGGAGTGTTCCACATATGTGTGGGATTTTGAACTGAAATGACCATCTTGAAGATCATTCGGTGCAGTTCACAGCCTTGCACGTCTTAAGACTTAAACCCCTCTAGTTTCTGAGCTACACTCCCGCGAGGATATGCAGGCTATTTCGGGAGGATTGTTTCAAGATCACCCGGGCATCCATGACGCCATTATGACGTAATTTAGATACGGTCATGCCGTTAGCCATGTGGCGATCAAGGCTAAGAAAAATGTAATTGTCGAGTCGTTCATAAATGACGTTCGTGAACACGGTTTCCAGATATGACGACGATCAATTGGCTCTCAATCAATGTTGTGCAAGGTGCGATGACGTAATAAGACAATGACGTGTTAAGGAACTCATTTACGAAGCAGAGAAATTGTGTTGTTCAGGGCTGACTTTTCCACTTAAATGTCTACCAATAGTTGCAAGTTATCTTATTTAATCATACTTAATGCTTGCTTCGCTATCTTCCAGTGTGGAACATTCCCCTGCATGACGTCAGCACAAACGAGCATTTGTGATTGACACGGGGGCGGCAAGGGCCAGTTGCCGAAAAGTGCATTGGTTGAAGTTTGAACCATGCGTCATGATAAACCATGTGATACTCAGTTTCCCAAAGCCAAAGTACGCTTCGAAAAGAGCTACAGTAGTAAACGCCATAGAGGCGAAATCGAAGTCATAGTGTAGTGTTTCGTTGAATTGGTGGGATGATAGCTCCATGTTCGCGCATTTTTTTCAAATGGTGTTTCTAGCTTTCGTAGCGTTTATTACACATATATTTTGACACAGAAGTGTGTCGCAATCACTTTACAAAACACACACGTTGGAAAAATCTGCGCCAACGAAGGGTATTACTTGCATCGTGGTGAATGGAGAGTCAAATAAGATTTCTCCCTCAGCAGCTGCTGCTTCACATTGAAATTCTGAGCTGTTTGGAAGGATAATGAGAAAACTGCATTGCTGATCAAATCGTACGCGTCTGACCTAACAATAAGTGAAAGGAATAAAAAGGTGGCATGCTTCCTTCAAGGGCGTTAACTGTCACACGCCAGTAGTCTGGTCTTCTGTGTTCTGTTGTTGATAGTGTTGTAGGCGATGTATGAGGATGGTCATAAATTCCGCGGGCCGTTCGATCTGTTTTCGTGCCTCAGGGTGGGTGGCGTTCCGATGGTGGCGCAATTTCGGCTGTTGGCCCCACTGAAAGCCTGAAAGCTCACCCCCACCACGGTCTACCGGCGCGGGACTCGGTCGTTCGATTGAAGCGGGCCGCGGTTGGGCTGCTGCGAATGCGGACAGTTGGACGTTCGATGCTTCCATTCAGCCTGCGCTTCGAGCCGATGTTTTTTAATGCCCTGGTGACCGACTGGTTCACGGAGTGACATTGGGCCTCCATGGAGCGAGCCCGGGGCCTTCGACATTGGGCCGCCGCGGACCCAGCCCCGGGGGCCTTCGACATTGGGCCTCCATGGAGCGAGCCCGGGGCCTTCGACATTGGGCCGCCGCGGACCGAGCCCGCCGTTGCCAAACAGAGGAGCGGCTTTTGGTTTGAATGAAGCGAATTTACGCATTCCTGTGCGACCATCGCTAGGGCTCATAGCTGTCGCACGAAACGCCTTTTTTACTTTAAAAAGCACTGCGGACGGGATGTTTACATGACATAATTTGGGTTATTCTAAACATTACGCGCTTGCGGAGGGTTTAATCGCATAAGCATGACAGGACGCCATCTGGTGATCGCCGGCGATCTGGAAACCGAACGGCGTCTGCAGATCACCCTGATCGCGCCGAAGCACTGGTCGCGTGGTGTGACGTCACGCGTGGCCTTAACCCCGGGAAGGTTACGCAAGCCGGCAGCACTGCACGGATCCGCGGTTTTTGAGAGTGACCGCGGCATTGCTCAACGGGGCATCGCTGGAATGTTGATGTCGCGTGGCATCGGGGTCGGCGGTGTAAACGGCGGCCCGGCGCGTGGTGTCGGGTGTCACTCTGATCTCCTCGTTAACTCCGACACTCACTCTCCGCGCCGCTCCTCTGTACTGTTTTCTTTTTTTCCGTCGTCCCATTTTTTCCTTTCTACCTTGTTGCAGCGATCTGTCCGGGGATGTTGCCAGCTGCCGCCGTTGTTTGTCCCGGGATGTTCCCAGCTGCCATCCTCGTTTGATCCCCGTTTGTCCTGGGATGGTAACATTAGGTGTTCGGTTCTGAAGTTTGTTGCGTGTGGTAATAGTTGATGACCGAATATTTTTCTTCAACGAATGATGTACACTTCGACTGGACTGAAGTTTGTTTTTTTATTCAAGAAACCTGAAACTGGACAAATAAAAAAGACAGCCGAATGCAGCAATAGAAGCTGATACTATATGCCCGAAGTCAATGCGGTTGGTTGGTGCGCATCAGCGCCCAAGCAAATTTTTGATTCCGTTGAGACCATTCAGGCTGTTCTCTCACTCGTCTCCAAATAATCTGTTACTGTATCTTTTCTTCTCTCTCCTGCGCTTTGCGCTCGACTTTCATTGTCGCGGCCGATCGTTAAGGTAATCATCGTCTCTATTATCAGCGTGCCAAACCCGAATCAAACAATTATGCCTGATGGAAAAGCTGTTTTCTAGTATGCGTTGCGACTAAAGTTCGACAGATATAGACCGATATGGCCCTTGTGATACGCTTCTGGAGGACAGAAAATGCTGGGGCAGCAGTCGTCGGACCACACGGGCACGACATCCCATCGTGAGTCCCTGGAAAGGTAAATGGCTCCCACGTTGGCGAAATCGTTGATCCACTCATGCACGCTACCATAGAGATTATATCACAAGGCCTGTCGTGCAAAGGTTCGGCCCCAGGTGGGTAAACCAAGAGACAGCTGCCGAACAGCAAGCAGTTGACTGGTAATAAACAGGGAGTGCGATGAAGAGTGGCGCGATATTCCTGTTTTAAAGCGATCAAAAAACTGCGTTTTGATTTGTTTCTTGTCTTTTTTCGGCTTCTCTTCAGCACGCGCTCACCGAAGG